CCCTCTCATTTTTTGTTGCCAAATGAGGAAGTCCCCTTTTCCATTAAAAACCCCAAGTTCAAACTTAGCAGTTGACATTTGGAGTTTTTAATCAATCAAAAGAAAGAATTATTCGAGGTTCAGTGTTCAACAGAATAGATACATACAGAATAAAAAATTTTGAAAGGTAACAAGAATCAAATCAAATTATTCAGTATCTAGAAGACTTGAGAATCAAAGGAAAAAATAACAACACATAGGGAATTCACAATATCCAGGAATGATAGAATGAATGATGCAATACACTTCAAACCCCAGATGCCCAAATTCACCAGGATTCCGTGAAGATCAAGTCCTCAGGTCAAGGCTCAATTTGGGACATCAGAATCCAAAGCAAGGATATTATGAATCACAATTAAACAATAAACGAATGCAGTTTACCAAAATTTTAACTACAAACGTATATCACAGTTCACAAGAAGATCTATTTCAACTGTATAACAATTTACTTCATAATCAGCATGCATATAACATATATTTTGGCATTGCAGATTGAGTAAAATGTTAAGTAGAGGATGCAAACTGCAGTAGTAGTCAAGTTAAGACTACTAATCGACCAAGAAAGCCACAAGAACGCTACTGGTCACTCAAGAATCATACACGAACCAAGAGTTCGCCTGAAGATACGCCTGTAGGGTCTAATGAGTCATACACAGTAACAATTGTCAGTCCAATATACACTTAGAAATATTAATCAAGAATATATGAGATCAATTAACAAAAAACAGATCTAGGGTTTTCAGAAAAAAATCGAAACCCTAGGTAACCCCTTAAGATCTGACTGTAAGAATTGATTTCTTACAACCAGATCTTCATCGAACGGAGATTAAACACCACATTAAGCTCTTATACCACTATTATACCAGAATCAGAAAAATACACAAAGTATAGTTCAGTAATTATTTCTGTCAAAACATCACAGACTCCATTCGACTACAAGATTCAAGGTATCATCAATTTTGGGCTCAGAAAGACATTGTACCCTTCTGTACAACAAGAAACCCCAAATATCCCAAACCAACACAGACTCAACTTGACTACTTCAACGGACCAACTGAAAACCCCTAAAACTAGTATCAACTCCTTTCCTTTCTCTAGAATCACATAGACTCTTTAGTTCACAAAGAATACCACCCAAGATCATAGAAGATTCAAGGGAAAACCACAAAGTAGACGAAGAGAGATCGAAGGAAAAAATAGACGATTCAGAAAACCCTAGTCTAGAGAGTTCTACAGCTGATAGAGAGAAAAACGCGTAAAATCAAATTAGGGTTAGGAAAAATATCAGACGATATCTATATATGGGCTCATCACGGTAGATCTAGATTAGGGGGATCCAACGGTCCGGAGTATCACATGTGGCCGTGTATATGGGCTCAGGTTTTGGGCCTCCTCATTGTGTTATCGGGCAATGTGTGTAATATCTAATCAATTTGGGCCTCAACCCGATTTCATCATAGCCCAAGAGTTTGAGTTGTAATTCCAAAATTGGCATCACAATTCAATCATATCCAATAGACAAATGCGTTCATAACCTTAAAAACAACTGCTACTGTTGAACAAGATGCAAAGTTTCTGAGACTATCCAAACCGCATACTCGAGAACATAAATAAGAAAACCCAAATGAAATATGCGACAAAAATGAAATCTTGCTGTGACAATAAACCACTTTATTATACACAAACCTAACTTGGTCAAATGAAAATCTACAGAAGGATCCTAGAATTAACACACACGCATTCAAGAATATAAATAATTTTTACCACCTGCATTTTGTTAAAAAATTAAAATAAAATAAAAACTCTACAGAAGGAACATTAAATCAACACAAGGTTGAAACTTTACTACACCCAAAATCAAATATTTTAGAAAATGCATACCAAAAACATCATAGACCAGAATAGCACCAAGCTTGGAATCCACAGTGCCAGAAATATAGCATTTGAGGCCTCTAAGCTCTTCAACATGCCATGTTCCATTGCTTGAGCCTAGAACTGCTGGGTCTTCACAGCTCTGAGAGTGAGGGCTTGACATGTTACCTCAATTTTTGGAAAATGAGTCAAATGTTTGGTTCTGCAATAGTACACAGCAAAAGGGTTGTTAATTTGTTGAAGATTTATAAAGGGAAAATTTGCTAATCTATTGCCCAATCATTTTTCTTGGCAATTGTATCTTAAATTAAAATTAATATAAATTGTGAATTTTAGGAATGTATTTATGATGAGTAGATAGTAATATAAATATTACAATATATCTGGATAAAGAAAGTATATTAGTGGGGCTATTGTCTCTACAAATTCTAAGGTTGGCAACGATTCAATTTGAGGTCGGTTCGGTCAAAACTATCATTGAACTGTCATTTTTTTTATCATGTCATAATCGCACCATAACCGTATACGTTGATTCGGTTCGGCTCAGTTTGAATGTCGGTTCGGACAGTTAATAACTACGAAAATAAATTATTTTTTATAGGTCTAGCATCAAATTCGAAAAAAAAAATGAAAACAAAAACACAAAACTAAACCAATTTAGCAAACAATATCCCAATTCCCACGTGGGGAAATCTGACATCTGTCTCTATTTTTGTCACGGAGTGACGGAGAAGAATGATTTGGAGAAGACTATTGTTAGTGGAGGCGTTAGCGGCCGTTGTAGCGGTGGAAAGCGATGGTGGTCGTTGTACAGCGACGGAAAGGAGTGATTTAGATATGTGTTGTGTTGAATCTGTTGATTCCAATTTCCATATATTTTTAATATTTGGGTAGTAGGGTGTAGAGTTACTAGCTTAGGTTAATGGGACTTAGCGGGTCAATAATGGGCCAGAATTTTGGGTTGAAAGAATCATAGAAAGAATAATGAAAAATTCAATTGTCCAATTAATTTTTTTTAACTGGTAATTGGTTCAGAACGGGACGACGACAAAAATATAATGCCCGTCCCTCCCTGAACTGGGGCATTATAATCAAATATGATATCCATCACATTGCGCCATCGGTTCAATTTATTTCGCCTCATTCGATTCGATTAACCGGGATTTTCGGTTCTAACGATTCGAATTGCCATCCCTAACAGATTCCATTAATATATAAAATGTTGAGGATAAAAATACAAAGAATTTAAACGTTGGGATGCCAACTGCAATTCTTCCATTTATTGTATGACAAGGTCTAAGATTATTTTTTTTCTTTTCGAAAAATTTCACTATTGGTCCTTTATACATTTTTAGTAACAAGTTGGCCTCTATCTATTGTTTTAGTAGAACAACAGGTGCGATAACGTTTTTGTTAGCTTAATGAAAAATCAGAAAATTTATAAATTCAATTATAAATGAAAAATATTGAAAAGATTTGATGACAACTCGCAAAATATTCAAAAGTCGATTGATAATTGAAAAACATTTGTGAAAATTTAGACAACAATACTTGTCACTACAATGTTGATTAAGTCCCTATTTGATTCCCATTACCTGAAAATGAAAATGGGGGGAATAGTATTTTTTAGAAAAATGAGTGGTTGAAAAAGAAGGAAAAGTTTTTAATTTACGTGTAATATTATTTTATGAAAGATTGTGTGGTTGAAAATAGGAGAGAGAAAAATGGAATGTAATGTAATTTAATTTAATGGGGATCAAACGGGGGCTAAGCATGTAATGGACGAGGAAGTGACTGACGTAAGCTCTTACAGCATTGAGAAAATGAATATCTAATTAAAAATTTTGGGTTTTTAGAGTATGTTTGGATCCGCTTATAAGTGCTCAAACTATCTTATAAGCACAAAAACATCTAAAAATGTTCATTTTTTAGAAAAAGAATGCAAGGGTATGTTTGATTGTAAAAATGGAATTTGGTTGGAAAAAAAATGAATTTTAGGGAATTGAATTACCTAGAAATTGTTTTCCTGGAATTATAAATTATTGTGTTTGATTGGTATAATTTTCAACGTGAAAAATGTTGAAATAAAATTATTTTTTGGTATTCGTTTGGTTTTGTTTTACATGAAAATGGTCAATTTAAGGGATATCCACTTCTACCATTGTTCTTAGAATTTGTTTCCATTGTCAACCAAAAAAAAAACCCATCAAAAAATAATCTATATTTTGGTGTTCGTTTGCTTTTGTTTTACATAAAAATTGTCAATTTCAAGGATATCTTCTTTTACAATTTTTCATAGAATTTGTTCCCATTGCCAACAATTTAAAAAAAAAGGTGGAAAATAAAAAATCGCCCACCCTAGGAAAATAAAAGGTGAAAAATCACGCTTTAAGGTGTTGTACCTAGAAATCATGGAAAATCAATTTCCTGAAAAATTTTGTCAATCAAATAGGTCAAAAGTGAAAGTTGAAATTTGAATTCCAAGTTCCAATGAAAATTTCGTACAATCAAACAAACAGGGCCTTAGTTAAAATTTAAAAGAAGATTTATTTTGACTTTATTCTACACCCAATTAGATGATCCCAGCAATAAAAGTTTAGAAGAATTAAATAAATATAACTAATATCATTATATCATAATTAGGAAAAATTAAGAATAGACAGCCTTTCATGTAGTGTGATTATTTATTTAGAATTGTTAAAAGTGAGGCTCCAAACGAAAGAAATTTTCAATATAGACATTAAAATCACACGTAACTTTCTTTTGAATTGAAAAGAGATGTTAAGTTATTTCATGATTTTACCTTATAGTTTTGAATCATATGAAAGTCGTATAGAATTTTAGTGTCAAATTTGACGTAAGGACGGACCTATATTTACAAATTTAAGTACTTCGAAAAGTTAGAACCACATCGCACAAAGGGCTAGCAAGTACAACCTAATCTTCCCTTGTCATGTTTCATAATATACGTAAAATTATTCTCGTGTGAATTTTGTTGCGGTTAAAAGTCATTTTTTGGTAGGCATTTTCATCGTGTGGGGCTCTCAATTCCATTATCCCAATATTTTGGCATGTATGGATCCTAAATATAAAGGGAGAACAATTTAATTCAACCATAGAAATTAAAATTAGAGGTAGCTACAAATTTGATAACATGAAAGAGTCATAACAAAATACACGATTTTATTAGCTTTTTTAAAAATCACTCATATTCTTTATCCGTTACTGCCATTTGAAGAGAGGAAGGAACCCGATATTTGCTCCTTTCGGTTTCTTTTTACTCAAATGTGTTTGGTAAACCAGTTAAGCAAGTCCGAGTGAGACTCCTGAGCGCTCTTAACGGCAAATTCATCATCATCCTTGTATCGTGTTGTCCATCCATGTTCAACACCAGGAAATATCTTCACATAGCTATCAATCTGAAACGTAATTATAAGCTGATTAACCAATTTTCCAATTCATGCCGATCTAATAAACAAAGTGCATTAGCGTAAATCCGAGTTATGGCGCACTGGTTATCAATATGGTTTCACTTGACAAGATCGCATCAAAGCATAAAACTCGCAAAGGTGAAGGCAATTAATCTAGTTGGACAAAACAAATGTTGACAGAATCTTGGTTTTTTATTTCAAATGATTTAAAAAAAAATGTTTTTGAAATGATTGGTGTAGATACTGTTTTGTAAACCAACTTCGGCAACCAATTTTGTACAAGTAGCATGAATCGAGGTGAAGGTTGGCTTGAATTTCTTACCTCAGTTTTCTTTGATAATATTTCCCCCAAGTGTTTTAGGTGCTCCGGTGAAGTAAACCTGTCGGTCTCAGCTCCTAATAAGGCAATCGGACATTTCACCTCTGAAGTACCGGAGTATCAGTCATAAATCTAAGAAGAAAACCTTTCAGAAAAGAAAGTAAAATCTTTGAAATTTACCATTTATTTCTTCCTCTGTTATTGGACCAGGATGCAACACAACAGCAGCCTTAATGCAATCAAATTTTGCCAATTTTACCACAGTCATCCCTAAAACAAGAGCAAGAAAGTTGAATGCTTTTTCGGGTTCGACGAAAAACTGATCATGCTAAAAATTTACTTACCTCCCCAGCAAAAACCAGCAGCTCCTACGGCAGATATGCCTTTGCTTTTCAAGGCTGAAATTACTGCCTTAGCATCCTCACACCCTTTCTCCTAAAAGAACATAATCCAAGAGATGCCCAAATAAATACAAGAATGAACTCATAAAAGGCGCATGGTGCAAACGAAACACGATTATAGTTATTTTAATGTGAACGTGCGTGCAGCGAAATTGGCAGAGAGTGAAGTAGAAACGAACCGTGGGATGAGCCCTCAACCATGACTGTCCATCAAATCCAGGTCTATCAGGATCATACGGATCACCATAATAGAAGTCGGGAACCACTACTAAGAACCCTGAAGCTGCAACTTTGTCTGCAAGCTTCCTAGATAATATAAGATGGCGAAACACAAGTCGGAAATTTCATTACATATAAAAAACTTCTGTTAAGGAAATTTGAAGATAGACAGAGGAAGCGAAACAGATTGCAGCCAATGAGACTTAGCCAAAATAATAAGAATGAGGTTCATGACTATAAATTCGACCAGAAGCGTGACAATCAGTCTAATAAATCATTAGTTCTTGGACTTATTTACGTCTTCTAGAACTTATTTTTCTTCAAACTCATTGTCAACTTAACTACTTTTTTAAGACAAGTTCCACCAAATCTATTATCAAAAAATCTCTCTACCCTAAATTTTTAACCGTTCTACTGCATGTATCCTCCTATTGTTTCACTGACCGGAAAACGAGAAGAACGCGATCGTGTTTTACCAAGTAGCAAGAAGGATTTACTTCTTAGCATAAATGAGTTTTATTTCCTCAACGAATTTTCGCTTGCCATGTCATCATATAGAAACAGAATTATGCACGGTGAATGACTAACGGGGAACATAGTATGAAGTAGGGTGATTATATTCGTATAAAAAGTTCAGGGACCATTTACGAATTTACACAGTAATTAAGGGACCAGCAAAAAATAAGCCAGGCTTCATAACTCATTCAGTTAAAAAAAAACTCTTATAATTACCTCAAATTTGGAGCTTCGTAGCCTGCAAAAACCCCAATCAAATTATTTCACTACACTCTTCATCGTATTCAGCTAACAAGTTCATCAAAACAAAGAGTTTAAGGTTGTCAGATTATTACCAAAGGCATCAGCAATTAGAAGAACGGCAACCTTGGAATCTTGGGATCCAGTTACGTATGTTTTTAGGCCTCCAATTTCTTGTACACTCCCTGCTCCACAAGATGGATTGAGGGTTGGTGGATTTTCACAGCACTGGGGGCCTAACATTTTCGATTATTCTTTGAAAATAAGCAGCAGATTTGTTTGTACTGTATTTGCTCAGACAGAAACACTAGGAATTTAAGATTTTATAAGGAAGCGCCGTCCAGGTGTAGGCATCATTCGTCAGTGCTTACGTTAGCTAAATTTTCTTTTATTTTTGGGGAATGCGCTTGCATGGGACACATTATTTATTTTATTAAAATGAGAATCCTAATCGATGCGTTGTGACCATACACAAAAGATGAGAAGTCAATAAAGTTGGCCGATGATTAACGATCAGAATTTTAAATTTTCTGTCCAATAATGTGCCTCAAACATGCCATATACACAGGATTAGTCAATTTAGGAGATGGATTATGATAATGAGAAAATTGGGGGAAGTTTTAACAGGTGTAGGTTATAATTTAATTACTTTCTTTTTTTTTTATAACTAATGTGACTTTTATTATTAGCATAATTGATAGAACGCTTATGCTACATGAAATGTACAAAATGTCCAAGCAACATTTCATCATTGGTTAATGAAAAAACTATTTTTTCATCCGTCCATGATGAAATGTCATTTGACCATTATGTACACAAGGGTGTCGACCCTAATGTATCTATAGCATAACCCTTGACAGAATACCATTGACGTATCACTTAATACCCCGGCCCCTTCATATATTTTATGTTACGTTCTTTTAAGTATTTATGAGTTGTACGTTGTACATAATGCGTAAATAGTAAGTGAGCCTACATAATATGTGAACAGTAAGTATATTTAATCAACTTATTTATAATTTAAGCTTTGCCATTTTTTCTTCAGAACGGATAATTTTCCCTTTGTACTCAAGAAGCTCAAAAAATTACACGACACCACTATACCCTGGCGATCTCGACAATTTTTCAATTTGCATTGCTCGCCGGGTTGAAAATGCGTCACCCCACCTTCCTGCATCTGCATAAATGTTGGACAATAGAACTCTACTAGGACCATGAGATGGCTCCACCCTTGCCAAGTTATCAGCAGCTCTTTCGCCTATGTCCATGTTCCCGTGCATTCTACATGCTGCCAATAGCGTCCCCCATATCACGACATCTGCTTTCATAGGCATGTTCTTTACGAGTTCTTCCGCTTCTTCCAATCTTCCGGCTCTGCCTAAAAGATCGAGCATACAACCATAGTGCTTTATATTTGGCTCTACATTGTATATGCTTTTTATGCTCTTGAAATGCATTTCCCCTGCTTCCACCAATCCAGCATGGCAACATGCGCTCAAGACTCCGATGAATGTGATTGAATTGGGCTTTATATTAAGCCTTCGCAAGTCGGAGAAAATTCTTAAAGAGAGTTCTGCGTGCCCATGCATGGCCAAGCCACATATAATCGCGTTCCAAGGTGAGACATCTTTGGCCTTCTCTCGGATTTGATAAAACATTTCTAGGGCTGCGTTGATTTTTCCACATTTCGCATACATATCTATGATTGCTGCACTCAAATTGTCGTTCATTGGAATAGAGTTATTGTGGATGAACTCATGAGCCCATATACCTTCTTTCAGAATGCCCAAAGTAGCAACCGCAGACAGAACACTGACCATTGTGATTTCATTCGGCTTGATTCTATTAGCTACCATTTCGTGAAAAAGTTCAAGAGCCAAATTAGGCTGCTCGTTTTGTGAATAACCAGAGATCATTGAGCTCCATGAGAAAATATCTCTTTCGGGCATCTCATTGAATAAACGCCTGGCCTCATCAACCATTTCGTTTCTTATTAGTCCTGCAATAAGTGCATTCCAACAAGCCATATGGTCCTTGCTTCCTTGCTCAAACTGCAAAAGAGCAAGATTGATTTCTTGGCAAGCAGCATAGAAATGAATTATCGTTGCCTGTGTGAAGTCATAACAATCGAACCCTATCTTCACTGCTACACCATGGAATTGCAAACCCTCGACTGATGCATTTGCGTGGGCACAAGCTGAAATTATTCCCACAATCATCACATCATTAGGACCCAACCCATTGCACACCATGTCACGATAAACCCTCAAAGCTTCACTTAATCTCCCTACTTGCACGTACCCATCAATCATCGTACCCCAAGAAATCACGTCTCTGCCAACAAACCTTTCAAATAATTCCCTAGCTGAATCAACCAAACCTTCCTTTGCATAGCCATTTAACATCACATTCCATGAAACCACATTCTTTTCTGGCATCTCATTAAACACCATCCTAGCATCCTCCAGCTGTGAACTCGCACAATATAAGTGAACCAAATTAGTTGAAACAAGAACAAACACATATAGGCCAAGTTTTAACACCAGTGAATGCAGTACTTTCACATTTTGAATACCGTCAAAATGCACGAAAGATGTGATAATACTAGCCATGGTCACTTCATTTGGGACCACACCAGAGTGCCTCATTTTCCCAAAAACCCCAATCGCATCGCCATAAAACCCATTTTGAGCCAACCCCATTATCATAGTCGTATACGACACACAATTCTTCTCCGGCATTTTCACAAACAGCTCACATGCATCATTCAAAAAATCATATTTCACATACCCAGAAAGCATAATGTTACAAGACACAGAATCAAGCTTCAGGGAATCATCAAAGATCGATTTGGCGCAAGAAATCGACCCGCATTTCGAGTACATGCTGATCAAGCTGTTCTGTACAAAAAGATTGGAATCAAGCCCAGATTTTTGTATAAAGCTATGGAGCTGTTGGCCATTGGAGATCAATGAAGGGGATGATGAAATGAATTTAAGTGCAGAAACTAGTGAAAATTCAATGTTGCTGGATTTTTTGGAGATGTTCTCGAGAAGGGTTTGGAAAGGGTGGTTGTGGGTTTGTGGGGTTGAAGTGGGAAATGTGGAGAGGCATTTTAGAATTGAGAATGAAGGGGAATGGGAAGCAGTTTTTTTGAATTTGAGAGGAAAATTCATGAGATGTTATCATCAGAGAAAAGAACTTAAATTTATGTTCTGGATTTTGATGTATAGCTGTAATTCTGGATTTTGGAGGGAAAATATGCCATGGGAATAGTAGGAAGATCCACAAGTAAGATAACAGTTTTTTGTTACAGCATTTGAAAATTTGCTCATTTTTCCACTAATATTCTCGACTTTTTAAAGAATTCAAGAGAAGGTCAGGGTGAGACGAGCCATTTATCATTACGATAGGTGTAAAGTAGATTAGTTTGTACAATTCATGTCCATCTAAAAAAACTCTTTTGATGAGCATATAAAAATTAATATAAAATTCCAACAAATTCACAATTTTAAAGTATCCTTACAGAATATTTGGTCAAAAACCATGATCAGAGACAAAATGTGTTGATTAATTGAAAATGTTCTCAAATGATTAAAGGTTAATTATTGAATTTGATTTTTACGAGATATACATACGAAATAAACATGAGGAGGAGAAGAGCAGAACATATCAAATATAGATCCGCATCAACTCGACCAATTAATTAAGGTCTTTAACAAGGATATACTTTGACAAAAATGAGTGACCTAACTCGATGACAAGTTCGATCATATGGATAGACAAGTGTGTACTATGACATAAAGGTAGGAGTATCAGGAATTGTTATACACTCGAAAATGAGAAACATTCGTCACTAGTAAAAGAAATGTGAGGTCTCAACAATCGTAATAGTGGTATTTAAAGCGTAACATACATGGTCAAATTAAGGTGGTCGGACTAGACAAGACAATACATATTTGTGGGTCCCACCATTGCTAGAAAATTGACAGATATATAACCTTCATTCTCGACGAAAGAATTAACTTAAAAAGAAATTGCCCAATCAAATATAGCCCATCATGAAGAGAGGATCAAGCACTTGCGGTGAATGAACCAAGCCATAGCCCATCCAATTTCTTCGAATTATCTGGACAGTACCACACCCCACCCCCCCCCCCCCCTCCCCCCAACAATCTGAACCGCACTAGGGTCTAAATTGTCACCCATTCCTTCGTCATTGAGGGTTTAAATTTTGCATAGAACGCTATCCAATACAGTCGAATCCACCTTAAGCAAATAAACCAAACCATAGCCCCATCCACCCTGTCAAATTTGAACTTCAGTGGCTCTAAATGCCCTTATACCTACATAATCGAAGATATTTCACTATTTTGGCAGAAGAATTTGACGGTTCTTTGGCACATAAAATGCTGAAAATGCCCTATTTATGCCATTCATCATCAACAAAGCAACTGTCACTTACCATAGAATGAACCCATTACTAGCACAGGCCTAGTGCTAAAGAATCAAAAATAGAGATTTTATAATGTGTACTTATTAATACTATAATTTATTCTACTTTATTTGGGGTGTCGAAAAGTAAGGAACTTCCACTAGAAAGTGGTCATAATTAAGTTTCTTTAGAAGACTATCATTGAGATTCTAAAAAATTGTTTCTCATAAAATTACAAGTCCTTCGGAGCGAAAACGAAAAACAGTATAGCAAAAGAAGAAACACTTCAATGAAGCCTAATTGAAACCGCCATCATTAACAGTTAGCGATTATCTCCTCCGCCAGTAAGAGCAAGAGTCCTGGAGATCACATCATATTAAAGAAGTTAAATGTTTCCACCAAAGCAAGTACAATGAAAATGATTAGTTAACATAAACCAAGAATACATTAGAAACGGGAAATCATGGATGGAGCAGCAAAATGAGCACATTGTTGATTTCAAACATCAGTGACTGAAACGAACATACAAGCAAGCTCAAAAGAAGACTAAGTTATTCTATTCCATGCTTTACAAGAGACCAAGCATTTATTGGAAAAATTGCATGTTGGGTTTAAATTTTGCCAAAATTCTTGATAGAAGAAGGGAAAGATTTCCAGCTGTAAATACGCAAATCATATAAAGCCCCAAGAATAAAGCCCCTCATTCTTGGCTTGATGAAATCCATTCTCATGTTATCTTTTTACTGTTTACCATTTCTTTAAATAATGAGCAGATGAGTAAGGAGCTCACCCTGTTTCTCGTTCATCATTCATTTATTTGAAAATTGACAAGTCCCACAGTCCATATGGCAATTCATTCCCACATTAGCTTTGCACGATATATCAGATCAAAACAACTTGAACTCAAATTTACCATGTTCCAAGCACAACTCCATGATAAAATACCCATGTTCTATGAACTAGAGTTTGACGTACAGCAGTCAATAAAATTCTCATGCGCAACCAAATTTTCATTGAAGATAACCATAGACACCCAAGTCATGAATTGTTAAATTATCAGACAGCAACAAAATAAATAATGAGCAAGTTTATGCATATACCCAACAGGCTCATGGTAGCCCAGGGTGGGGGGACCTTTATTAGTTTTCCAATTCATAATCTTTGGAAACACAACTTTGTACCCTGGTATTCTGAGAAGTGGTTAACGGATAGAGAACTTCAGGGAAAGTACAGAAATTGGACTATATTCCTCCTTAATAACAACGAGCTACATAAGGAATGCAGCAAACATTTGATTGACATTTGCTGCATCTTCTAAAAAGTGCAAAGAAATTAGTAAGGCAACAACTATGCGCTGCTCAGAAGATGAGCATCTGAAGCCTAGAAGTAATTACTTATGCAAAAAAAAAGCTTGCTTTCATTGTATACAATTATGTAGGTTGATGTATATGGAAGCATGAAAACATGGAATTCACAAACAACCTTTTAGTTTATGTTGATTCACTCACGAATAAAATACAGAAAACTATGCATGAAAGGCACGTTGATTCGTACAGAATACCAAGAATTTACACTCATTGATTCATATAGAATACCGATAATCGGACAAGTTATTAGCAAACTCAAATTTTCATTTCATAAGTGCCCTTCTCCACGCACGAGTAGTCTTATTTAAAAAATGCAATAGCATCTATTCTATGAGGTAATTTCAAAGTATCATAATAAACTTAATCTAAGATAGTAATGAAAGACTGCCATAAGCAGAACCAATCAAGGGAAAAAAAAATTTAAATTAACATAAAATCTTAAAATCTCAAAATAATTCATATTCCATCTGTGGGCTGCATCAATATATTATGTACTTCTAACCTCCTCTAACCCCACTCCCAAGAAAAGGAGAAAGTACAAAAGAAGGTCTCAATGCTGACAATGAAAACAAATTTCAGGTTTTTCACATGAAGCTCGGTGCCAGTAATAGACTGTGAGACATTTTAATGTTATAGAAGTATAAAAAGTTGCTATATTTATCTTATTCATGAAATAACCATTGAAAAAGGAAGAAAAAGAATGATACTGCAGGCTTGCTAAATAACTAGATGCCAGGAACTTACAAAGGATATCTAAATGTATGTAGCTCACAATCCAAATGCATCTTTTAGCCACATGTTATTAAGATAGGAAACATTTGCCGGTTCAACAGGGAACCTGACATCCGTCTTGTCCAGTTGGCTTCATAAAATATTAAAAACTAAAAAAAAAAAAAAATGCAAATGACATAGTGAACCGGAAAAAACACCAGTTTGATTTTTTATTTTTTTTTTCTCTCGCCCTCCTGATATCACCTTTCTTGTCCTCCACACCCACCTAAAATCAAAACCAGAAATGCAGTCGACAGCATTCCTCTTATCATTTTTTTAATTCCTTTCCTCATTACCTCCATCATTATTTGTCATCCGCATAGGACACCTGACTGGCAACAAAAACATAGTGATAAGCCAGAAGACTGTGGCTAATTAGAGAGTGATCATGAAGTTTTCAACCCATCTGCCTTCATCTGTTTAGGGCTCAAAATTTGGTAGAAACAGTAGAGCGTCTTTGAGAAATTGAAGATCAAATTGTGGATCAATAGGAACATGAAGAGATTCGCTACTTCAAAAAGGTTCTTTAAAGGTATCGGAGGTGATATTTTCGTTATGTGTTTCTGCAAGCAGGACTTGAGAGTTAAGACTTAAGAGGTGTGTAACTGTGTATGATTTTGAGTTTGAAGGTGAATTCTATCTCCATGTGGGTTTTTGCAGCATATATTTTATTTTGTTTATTACCTTTTTTCAACTTTTCCCCCTTTTTGGTTTGGGCGGATGCATCTAGCATTTGGATATGAAAATGTTACCCTTGAGATCACTAGTCTCTGTGGGTGTTAGTGGGTCTTCCCCTGTTCCCATCATATTTCATTGTTTTTAAAAATTATTATAATTCTGGAAAATAAAATGAAATTATGACATCAGACTGATGACTTTTGACCTTTGAACCAGTAGACTTGGGTGTTTGACAAGCAGTCCCAAGCAAAAAACATTGCTTGAGTGTCAAATCACTCCCTTGCCAAGTGAAGTTAAGAAAGATATCAAATTCATTAGGTATAAAAATGTCTATTTCAACCTTGAGGAGTAGCTCACTAGTCAGACCTTAGGTTTGTTTTCCAATTGTCACCAGTTCGAGCCCCTCAAGACCACTGAGATGAGTACCCGACTGTAAATTTCAAAGTCCCGTAGAATTAATCGAGGTGCGCGTAAGCTAGCCTAAACACCCACAGCAATCCAAAAAATAATATCTATTTCTTTTTATAACTTGCAAATCTACACACAATAAATAAAAAACGATCTTGACCCTGTCAGAATACATGAAACGTTTAATCAATAAATTAGTAAATAAATCCCAAGTATCCTTGAGAAGAACTACACGTCTTTGGTAGAAAACTAAACCACTGTTTATATTTGTACGTACAACTTAAATTGTTGTCCAAGACATTATTTTCTAAATCACTGTGATACTTCTTTGCTATGAAAAAGGTAAAATGAAATAATCCTATTAAAAATTTTAAATAATCAAAAACGAAAAGAAGAAAGCAAAGTTAGCAATTCCCTACAAGAAAAACGTATAATGGAGAGGGGCTAGAAAAGGTTGAAGGGGTCCGTTATACTTCAGTGAAATGGAAAAAAAGGTATACAAGTTAGCAGTTAAATCACAAAAATACATGTCGCAAGATCTCCTGTAATCTTCTTTTACCTTTTAGGTTTGATTCATTGATTTTCAACCGATAGCATTCATTGACATACTTATTACACATTAAACCTTTCCTATATTAGCTTTTGAATTACAGCCTACCCCTAAAATGATAAGCAACCAATCAATATCACCCAAAATCTAAGTTTTCGTGCTGCACCAGATCAATCTACACAGATATGCTAAATAAATAAATACACACTGGCTGTCCCCACAGAGCTGTTCCAAGTTGTGCCACACAGTTAAGAAGTGTAAGTAATATCGGCAGAAGGACCTACATGGCCGTTATATAGTTCGAAGTCGTGCCACATGGTTAACAAGTGTAAGTAATATCAGCAGAAAGACCTTCATGGCCAATTATATAGTGCAAGACTACATCTCTTATACAAAAAAAAATTTTAAAATTTCTTTATTTATATTTTCTTAGTAATTTTGGTAGGCGGTAACAAATTTCTCTCACTGTCACTATAGTAATCAGGATTCAAAGTATCTCCTACTTTATGATATTGGACTCGTTAACATGATGGCAGCAGATCTTTGTTGAGTTGGTGATCAGATGTGTCTAACAATTTAATCCAACTACAGCGTACAAAACCAGTTGTGTATAGTGTCAACCAGATAACTACAGTTTAATTTTAATTTGATCCATACTATTGAAGTGACGTAGCAACATCCAGGAAAATATTTCCAATTGTATAACTTAGTTCCAATTGTATCCTTTCCATCAGTCAGAACTCAATTCCATTGCTTAAAACCTTTGGTACTAATTAAAGAAAATTATCTCCGCATATCCATACTTAACTTTTCCAACTACGGCGGGCTTTCTAACATGAATAACAATGCGTCAAAATGATAAAGTTCGTTACAGCCACCTTGTCTTCTTTAAGAACGACTGGTCCGAGAATATAACAGGTGAGTTTATCATAATACCAGTTCATATCTCTATCCCGAGCAAAGCCAAACAACTCAGAGGCAAAAATAACCTATCCTAATCACTATCAAAGCAGAAAAGAAATCATCTATAGCATCAACCTCTATACTGATGTAATGGAAAACGATCAAACTTGAAAGACCTCTACAATTTTTTGGCAATCTAATATGCACATTATTCGGTCACAATTTCAAACATCACTAAAAGCAAATTTCATATTATTTACAGTGCAGAATATAAATCATGCAGAAATTCAAATCATATATCATATTATGAACCTATATCCACGTACTAAAACCGTTTTAGCTAAAGATAACAACATTGAACGAAAACAGGTAAAATAGATAACACCATTGAACTAAAACAAGTAAAATGCAATTTCGCATTCAAATTCATCATACCCAAATCCATCCATAATTTAGATAAGATTCACTCGTAAAAGAAATCCATGAACCAGAAAAGATTCATTTATTTTTAATGAAAATCAACATTCAACAAGAACTTTGCTCACTTCTTGTGGCGCCGACCACGCTTAGGTCCCCATCCTTCCAGTTTGGCGACCGGGCACCCACATTTTGCACGGAAAAGCAAGACTGCACGTCCATTGGGCGGGGCCATCTTCCTCAACTCGGCACGCAGGCATTCATAATCCGGATTATCCTCACAATCACCCTTCCATGGCAACTCATTGACATCCTTAACCGCCTTATTCTCGGATCGCAACAACTCCTCCCCCTGTAACTGCAAGTCGAACTCCATGGCCTTCTTCAATCCTTTACACCCATTCTTCCCGCATCTCTTCGATCCGAACCCATAACAGATCTCGAAAAACAAAACAAATATAGCAAAAGACAGCAAAAATAACCCGAAAAATAAGTACTGCGATTGCGCATCAGATATTATATAATAGTAAAGCTCTGAAACAATGGCGGAAAAGGGCGGAAGGAGGAGGGAAAACGCTTGGAAGAGATAAGAAAAGTAGGAGATAATAAGAAAGGCCCCAGAAAAGAGAACAATGATGAAAATAAGGATGTCAAGGGTGGCGGAAGGAGAGTGCCTACAGAGGGAAGGGCAATTTGGGGAATTTGCATGGTGATGGTTGACGTTGGCGGTGGTTGCGGAACCAGGTTTTGCAGTGGTGGGTTTTTTCTGGGAAGAAGAAGGGGCCATTGCGAGGAGGAGATGGCGCATGTTATTGAGAAGGGGAGGGGTGGGTTGGGTTTCGGTGAGGATGTCTTCTTTTTTTTGCAGGTGGGAAGGAGGAAAATGGAGGAGGTGCGCACGCTAGCCAACTGTAGGAAGTTTGGAGGGGTGCGCACGTTAGGTATCATTCACCCATAATTTTGTCTCCCTCTTCCAACTAATTTATCGTTTTTCACTTACCAATTTACAGCTTTTGATTTTATTCAAATTTTTTTTTATAATCTTTTTATCATATTTTAAGTACTTTTATTTTATTATTTAGAATTAATGATTAATGTGGTAATAAGATAATAATAGTCATTTTACTAGATATTATTCTTGTCAATATATTTTTTTATTTTTATTGCGTTTAAATAAGTTTATATATTATTTTAAAAAACAAATGAATCACGTGGTAATAAGAGAATAATTATCATTTTACTAAATATCATTATCCTATAATGTACACGTGATCATGCTACATAATCAGTTGCTTAAAAACAAACAAAAAAATAAAAATAAAAAAAACCCCTGAAAAGTAAGAAAAATCAAGTGCCTTTTAAATGGAGTAATTGTATGTAATATCACAATCCGATGACAATAAAGGCTTGTTTGTTAGAGATTTTCTTAAAATTATTTTCTTCAAGATATATGGTATTTCATGATTAGATATTTAAAAATACAATGGTCCGAAAATTAAATAAAGATGACCAAACACTCTGAATTTTCAAATACGACTCAAATATCATGATTTATCACTTAAAATTACATATTTTGTACATAATAGGACTCAAGTATAATGAACGAAATTTTTACTTATTACGTTTCTTAATACTGTTCAAGACTCTCCAACCTTGCATCTCTATATACAACACAATACATTAATCAACCAAATTCTGAAGTTCGCACTACCTTATTTATATTGTCATAACATCACATTACGAGTGCATACAGATACTAACAGATGCAAGAACCCCATTTTCATTCTAAAGGAAAATTTAGTAAAATTCACGATCGGGCAAGATCAACGGTGCCACAAGTGACCAAACGTACAATGCAGCGGTGACCCATTCCGTGCAGATGCGAACCCAAACTGACGTCCAGCCGACATCAATGTAGTCGGAGCTCTCAGAACTGCTGGTCCATCCGGAAAGAAGCATGGCTGAGTACATGCTGGCCAGAGCAAATATCAAGTGGAAGAAGGTGTACGAGTAACTAACAGGTCGTGCTTCAGCTTCTTTCTTTCCTTTTCCCGATTCCGGGTCGTCTGATTTTAGAAGAGGTGTCGTCCCACCTGCAACGGAGATTTTTAAGGTCACAACTCTAGCTGCAATATTGTTCAAACACGTAGGGCATGTTTGGTGTACAATACTAGGAATGAACAATAAAGATGATGAGTATTTTTGGCAAAAAAAAAATGTTGCTATAAGTTGGGTGCCCACAAATTGTATATACCAAAATCCATAAGCTAGCTTAGAAGCCACATAAATTGGAAATTCCCAAACTTATTTGGTACAAAAGCTGCGGGACCCACAGTTGAACGGATTTTTTGAGGGTCCCAATCTTATAGGATAGCAACTTATTTTTGCCAAACATGCTCTATAATTTCTTTTCTTAATAATGCCTAGTGTTATCTAATCCACACTAGCACACTCCCGTTGATGTTATCCCAAAACGAGGCACGCACATTGGTATTAAGGCCAGAAATTTACTCAAAATTCCAAGAGAATATTAGAGAGATGAGAACAAAAATCAAGAAGAAACGTAAAGATTTTGGATCAGATTTAAAAAAATACCTGCTCGGGGAGAAGACGGCGGGGATAAAAAGGTTGTTGATGATCCAGCACGGAGTGCAGAATATAGAACGGATAGAACTGTTGTAAGCATCCCGAGAACAAGGGTACTTGTGGTTACAGCTTTCGCCTTCTTGTGAAGACCATTGCACTCGTAACCTCGAGGCTCACTTGAGAGACCAGTATAGCAAAGATAAGCACAATAAACAGATACCACAGAAGCAGGCAAGAGGCTGCCATTTACCTGTTGAAAAACCAAAGTATCTCGTATTCTAAGTTTAAAAAAAAAAACCCTGGTTTCATTTATTAAAACAAAAGAAGAATTTCACAAAATCAATTCTCTTATTTAAACAATTTAACTTGTGTGGTGAAATGAACTTACAGAATGTTGGGCCAAGCTTAAAAAATAAGCAATGGTTAATTTTAAGCAAACTTTTGTTTTCAAACGTGTTTGTATCAGCTACTTTTAGAAAACCCTTTTACATAGAAAAGTTACTATTTTGGAGTTAACTTTTGGCTTACTATCCAAATAACGAACTGAAATGTGTCCAATTTCGATGATTTGATCAATCAAAAAATATTTAAGCATACTTAGTAAAATTTTTAAGCTTAACCAGGCATGCTCTATAGCTGCCACTTGGTAGTATATGGGACTTAAAAAGTGGAATTAGGAGATTTTCCATTCAAATTTCATTTTATTTTCCATGAATTCTAATTCTGAATTCCCATCACACAAAGGCGAATTATGGCTTCAATAACATTAAGACTACAACCTTATCAGTTGAAAAGATAGTTTCTCACCTTAGGGTGCAAAGCAATAACGGCGAAAGCAAAGGCCAGAATAAGTGTCATTACAATGAAAAAGACATTAAGACCACAGTCGTGACCGGAAGGGTTGAACCAAATGAATAAAATTCCCGAAAATGTGAACGCTGCAAGATAACACACTACTGATATAACCAGCAAGGCAACATACCTGAGAACAAGAGAGACGAGATTACTTATCAATTAAGAACCACATCGAGCGTAAAAAGAATAACTTTGAACCTACCACTTTTGCTCGTCTTTAGCAACCCATGAATCATTCCACGAATGTGTGGCATCTAACAATATTATGACTTGGACCAGTAAGAATAACCCTGCCCCAAACTTGGAAAGAATTCCTGCATACACAATAAGTTTGCCCATCTATGTAACTCTTGTCATTAAGTAACTATCTTTTAAGTTGAATCGTCTCATCTAAAAACATAAGTTGTGAAAGGGGGAAAGCTTAAGTTGTAGGAGAGGAGACGCGTTCGTTTATTTATTTATATTTAGTCTTCAACATGCCCCCTCATCAAAAGCTTGACGTATGCATAATTTTCATAAATGGATTGTGGTAAAAGTGGATTGCAGGTGTCACAACATTGAACCACATTATCTAAAAGGCTTAATTTTTCAACACGGTGGATGTTTATCTACTAAAATTAGTCTTCAATATTTTAGGGCTATGGCAGCAACTTAAATTATAAAACAAATAGCAGCATTCTGATTAATTAGTGGCGTCAATCAAGATATATATATTGAAGGGGAAAAAAAAAGGACAGTGCTTCTTGGGCTTCAAGTCAAGCCCAATTGATAAACGAGCTAGGTCATAAAAAGTACAACCATATAAATAGTCCTGGTTGAGATTTTGTCAATTGTACATGTTCCAAAGGCAAGATTTATGAACTAAATTTAGTAGAGATCAAAAAGAAGGATTATTATTATTTTGGAAGTTTAAGACCATTTCTTATGAGCCACTAGAATTACTTGATTGAAGAGAATAATGGAATCAAACAAATTTGTATTAATTGATCAAAAAGAGTTTGACTAGTTAAGCACTTAAACCGTGAAAGTGAGAAAAAATTCTTTAACACTAAATCATCCCCCAAGCTTGATGGGAAGTAAATAAATATGGTTAACCCAGTGGAATTAAGTTTTTAGCTCATTCTACAAGGAAATAATATCACTGGTCCATTAATAAATCTACCAGAATAAATATCAACGAGGCCACTGGTAAATATGAAACACATATATATTATTTTAAATGTCTCATCCATCAAAAGATGCTAAAAAAAAGTCGATTCGGGATATGAAACTGACCATAAATTGTTATGATGACATTAGGTAGAAAAAACATGAGGATGGTGAGCAAAGCCCAAATCAGCATCTTAGCAATCCATCCACCGTGATGCCAGGAATCACGTCTGTCATTTTGATCCTTCACTCCAATCATTATAAGGGCAAGTATTCCAAAAAACAAGAAATTCCCCAAGCTGACACGAAGAACCGCTTGTATTTGAAAGAACTCCTTTGGGAGGTTGTCTGAAGTGTTTATCCCTATAAAGAAATTCATATGCATATCTTCGTAAATTAAATGAACTACTCGTAAGAGTATCTTGTAAAGGTATTGGAAATTCAACATAAATGGACAGTCACGTTGGTTGATAAATTATACAGAAGAATGTATGTATCAAGTTTGGTAGAGTATAAATATGTATACGTTTATAGTCAAAAGGAGATTCAGAGGAGAACTACAGGGGTTATCTTAAACTAAAAATTCCATAAAACACTTGAACTTAGAAATCCAAAGAAATACTCTTAAACTAAAAAAATCGACCAGAAGAGGATCAAAAGATTCGTAACCTTAAACAGTTGATATATGCAAATATCAGACAACCCAAGAGCCAAAAATCAGGGACTCAAAAGAATTGCAAGTCCCACTCCAGAAAATGCTTTCATGAAATGAGTCAAATGAAAGGTGCAAATATGAAAAGAAATAAATTGGCTACTTAAAGAATTTGTTTGCTTAAGAAGAGCATCAAAATTCATCTTATCTTTCCATCAGTTGGCATAGGATTACAGGTAATTGCTTTCATCCTCAGAACAGGTGGCTATCCATAATTAAGTAGTTACCATAACGCCCGCACTTAAATCCAGATTCATAGTGAAATACAATAATGACAAAGTCAATCTAGAACCTTACTCATTCATCCGTGTAAGAAAGGCACAATCTTATTCTCCTTTGAAGTCTATCCAAATCAATGCCTATCCCTCATTCATTTCTTAAATATCCAAGATCATAAAACCATAAAAGGAAAAAGGTAAATTCCCCCCCCCCCCCAACTATCATCGAAATTAACCAATTCTAAAGAAAAAAAAAAGAAGAAAAAAGGCAAGCTTCTTTACATGTGCCTCAAAGTCAGACATACATATATATTAAAGGCTTAATACGGTTCCCAACTCTTTAATAACTTCTTTCTCCAGAGATTCCATTCTATTGGATTCCGTGCTTTGAGAAGTCTCGATCAAAGGAACCTTAATCGAGCTAAAAAGAATCAAATCATCCCCCAAAATCCAACAATTTGCGCAGAAAATGGAATCGAGTGCAGCTATTTAAAGTAAGTGAACAAAAATATTAAACCAAAAGCGTTTCACAACTTCTAAAGAAGCTCGTACCAGAACCGATTTCAACATAAATCGCAGAATATGTACACGCAAGATACAAAAAAAATAATCAAACGTACGAATTTGAACAAAGAATCAATTTTCAGTCTTAGATGATAAATCTTAGTTAAGCTGAGTGGCGACTTCTGTAGAATCCAAGATAGAAACAAAGGTCTCGAAATATAAACCAAACCCATTTCACAACTTATCAAGAAGCTCTTAACAGATCCCATAATTCCATAAATCTCAGGACACATAAACACAAGACAGCAAAAAAAATAATCAAAACCCAATTGGATTCGGATATATGTATGAATTTGAACAATCAATCAATTTTCAGTTTACATGATAAATGTTTGAGAAGAGGAGTGGCGACTTCTCGGAGAACCCAAGATAAAATCAAAGAGACGCCAAAAAGGCCACAGTAGGCGATTCTTGCAGAGCGTTTCGTGATGCCAGAGGCCACTGATGTGCAGAGACCGCATGTTAGGGACGCACAGCATGATGCCAAGCACGACATCTCTCTATCTCTAGCTGCGGATGGGATCGAGACTCGGAAATTCAGTTTTTTGGGGGGTTTTTGGTTTTAACTGCTCGACTATAAATGCTCAATTTTTTTTAATTGGGATCTCTGACATTTTCATATTCTACACGCTTTTCTTGTAAACTCGTGACCAATCTTATCTGTTCGGAGAAAATTTTATTGCTTCTACTTCTTTCGTCGCATAAGATTAAATTTATTTTTATTTTCATATAAATAAATAAATAAATAAATATATATATATATATATTTATATATATATATATATATAATTAGAAATATAAATTTTATTTTCAAGTGGGCCTTTATATACTATATGCATTCAAGAATATCCTAGGCAACTTTTTCTTCACCAAATCGCATAAAAGAAAAGAGAGTGAAGAAAGACCAATGTTAAAGAAGTAAAATAATTTTTAAACTTGTCTTTCTTGTTTTCATTCTTTCTGTGTTTTAAATGGAGATGGTTTTGAAGTAGATTAGATGTAAATATTTTTCTTTCAGAATCTGAATTATGAAGAATACAAATGTGTTTCTAGTGATTCTTGTTAGAAAATTGTGAACAAATATTACACTTCATTTATATACGAGAACAAACTCAAGATCATAAATTAATATTAAGCTCCAAACACAGGCATGTCAATGCAGGAGATGAACAAATATATATATGCAAAAATCAGGTGAAAATGTAAATTCTAATTAGTTGCGATGGCATAAAAGGTATGAATTTTTGTGCCTTGTGCAAAACTGTGGCTCTTGATGCAAGTAGATGAACAAGTCTTATTGGAGTATAGAGGATTCTATTTTTTAATCATAAGTTTAAGGGAATTATTAGGAAAGTATGGATAAGAGTCATATTTTGCTAACTTATAAGAAGATTGAACTATTTGATATCGTACCCTAATCTTTGGAATTGACACGATGAGTTGCTATAGTGTTTGTGTAATTCATCGGATCGGATTGTGTAGTCAACTTGTTTTAAAATAAAGCCATGTCTAATTTTGTGTTTTGTAAACTAATATTTGTGATTAAAAAAAAAACTAAAAAAATAGTTCAAAAAATGTAAAAATATAGCAAATTAGCAAATGTTTTCAGAATTGATAATTTGATGCCCAACAAATCCTGCTCCATCTCTACTGGAATGGCTTCATCGAATTTTAATGGAAAATCATGATATGAATCTCTCCTCAACATCTCTTTCTACATCGACTGCATCACCATCATCATCATCTACCACCACTTCTTGGTTCTCCAGCATTGTCCGTGGCCGCTCAGCCAGCGTCAAGATGGCCAGTAAATCCTCCTCAGCCGCTACCGGAGACAGCCTCGACGGAGGATGTGGACCCATTAACAAGAAACGCCAGTTCCGCGGAGTCATGTTCAAGTACGGCCCCAAGCCAATCCAGGTCCGCCCTTTTTACTGTATTTCATTTTTTCGTTTCTTTTTGGACTTTTATTGGTCGAAATTGAGAAAAGCATTTGATAAATCTGAAAGTTCGTGATTTCTTATAGTATTTGATAATATCTTGAAGTATCGACGAATGTTTGTTTGATTTCTGTCTTGAAGCGAAAAGATTAAATCTTTTCTCAAGAAGTATTGCTAATTATATGAGATGTCAGATGTGTTTTGAGTGTCAATTTCTCGTAAAGGATTGTTCACTTGTGATGGAAATTGAGGTCTTGGAGTGAAAAGATTGACGTTTTAAAGCCTCAGTGCTAAATTAGATAGCCATGTACGGGTTTCATTTCTTGGAATGGCAATTGAATTTCTCAGAATGGATTCTATGTGAGAAAACATGGGGGTTGATTTTAAGCAAGATAATGTTTTACTAGAATTCCTGAATTTGGGAAACAGTAAATATGTCTATTTGATGTTGCATTTGTTGGAGACGACTTATAAAAAGGACTATGTAAGGGTTGATTTTTTATATATTTGTTTGATCAGTTTTAACCCGTAAGAGCGTGATCAAAACACAATTTATATGAATGAAAATTTGGACAGAGTTTCGGTATAACGATTACGCAAAATAAGGATTAAGAAGGAGTAGAAATAGAGAATAATCTAAGGCGAGATGTTATCTCTTTTCTTAAAACAAATTGTCCCGCTACGGTTCTCACGGTAAATAGCACTTGTCTCCCAAGATATAATGGATTCACAACTTGTGGTAGCAGCACTTCAAACCACAAGAAACCAACGAACTTTTGATAGAATTTCCCCTCTACAAAGGAAATGTATGAAAATATTATAGAATTAGAAAGGAGAGAATTGTAAGAGGAGAATGAATGCTCAATGTAATTGGTGTACCCAAAATCATGTCCATATGGTTCTATTTATAGATGTAGAAAGGGTGCAAATGAAGTAGTGTGGGCCAAAACATACATCCTTTCAAAAAAGTTGCAACACTTGGCCCAAACTTGCATCTTTCGAAAAGTTACAACACTTCATTTCTTCCAACTTTGGTCCGCAATTTCTCATTCATCCGGACTTGGTTTCGAAATTTCAAATATACCACGACGATCTACATGACAAATAAAATAAGTTGGTCTATTTACTTTTGTAATTTGACTATTGGATCAAGTCCGAATATTTGGTCGAAATTAACACGTAGTCACACCTTTTCATTCTCCAATTTTTGGTTAATTATTTGAAACAATTCTTACAATCCCCCACATGAATGAAAATTCGGGTACGCATATGCAAATGCGATGATATGATGATAGAGAGGGTGCGAAAAAATATTGTACCAGGGATGGTGGCTTCTGGCCTTGAATCTCCCTTAGTGAAATACTATCGGACTTACTCGACTAATTGGTAAACCATAGGTCTTAAACCACTCAGCTTTTGGTATAAGTCAAGACAATAGTACTCATACAGATATCTTCCCTATTCTGTACTTAGTTCTGATGACTTGGTTCATTTTGGCCCTGAACCCTTCTTGGTTTCATAAGTGTTTAAAGAATTCAAACCATAAACAATTCTTATCAAAATTGTTCCACTTCACACTTACATAGGTGACCTCCTATTAAGAGTATTCTGCCCTACTCCACTTGACTTAATCAAGATATAGGAATCATTAAAAGATAATCTTAGCCTCTATTCACTCTGCAGAAAGCACTTTAGTATCATAGGAATGAGTTAGGAATTCTAATTTCCTTAAGTGCTTCATGGAATTTTCACAACTTAGTTGTCCGTTTGAACCAAGATCTTGGGATCTCCAGTCAACAAGGTAGGGTTGTCATTGCATAAACTCTTACGTAGTGGGCTTTAATCCCATTCCTCTCGATAGGCAACGCACTCGATCTCTAGGCAAACTTTTCGTAAGTGGATCCGCAATATTCTCCTTTGATTTCACATAATCTATGGAGATAACATTGTTTGAGATCAGTTGCTTAATGATGTTGTGTCTACGACGAATATGTCTAGACTTACCATTATACATGCTACTTCGAGCCCTTCCAATTGCTGATTGACTATCACAATGTATACTTATCGCAGGTATTGGCTTGGGCCAACATGGAAGATCTTTGAAGAAATTTGGAAGTCATTCTGCTTCTTCTCCAGCTTTGTCTAAAGCAATAAACTTAGATTCCATCGTTGATCGAGCTATGCTCGTTTGCTTTGTTGATTTCCATAATACAGCAGCTCGACCAATGGTGAATACATAACCATTACTGGACTTGGAATCCTTCATATCGGATATCCAATTCGCCTCACAATATCCTTCTAGTACCGCAGGATATTTTGTGAAGTGTAATCCATAGGTTGAGGTATACTTCTAGTATCTTAGAACCCTCATCAAAGCCTTTCAATGATCACGATTTGGATTACTTGTAAATCTACTAAGTTTATTCACCGCAAAAGCAATATCCGGTCGAGTGCAGTTTGTAATATACATAAGACTGTCAATTATTTGTGAATACCTTAATTGTGATATGTTTTCTCCCGTATTCTTGACTAAGTGCATACTCGAATCAAGAGGAGTTCTCGCAGGACTTTCCTCAAACACGTCAAACTTCTTAAGTACTTTTTCTATGTAGTGAGATTGTGAAAGTACAATTTCATCCTGCGTGCTAGAGATTTTAATTCCTAGGATTACATCTGCCACACTCATATCTTTCATATCGAAATGTTTTGTCAGCATCTTTTTGGTGTTAAGCAACATTTCGTGACTATTGCTTATTATTCACATGTCGCCCACATATAGACATACAATTACATAGTCATTTGGTGAATGTTTAATATATACATATTTGTCACATTCGTTGATCTTGAATCCATTTGACAACATTGCTTTGTCAAACTTTTGGTGCCATTGTTTTGGAGTCTGTTTTAATCCATACAAAGACTTAACAAGTATACACACTTTGTGTTTTTGATTAGGAGAAACAAACCCTTCAAGTTGCTTCATGTAAATCTCCTCTTCTAACTCATCGTTTAGGAATGCTGTTTTTACATCCATTTGATGAATCTCAAGATTGTGTATTGCCGCAATTGCAATTAACAATCTTATTGATGTGATTCTAGTCACGGGTGAGTAGGTATAAAAGAAATCAAGTCCTTCTTTTTGCCTATATCGTTTAGCAACCAATCTAGCCTTATATTTATCAATGGATCCGTCAGTTTTCAATTTCTTTTTGAATATCCATTTGCATTCTAAAGGCTTGTTGATGTAGAATGACTGGTTCAATAGCTATAATAAGAAGAGAGATGGGGGAAGAAGGGAGAAACAGAAGAACAGAGGCAGGGAAGAGAGGAAAACGGCTGCAAGCCAACTTTATTATTTAATCAAATTCATCAACTGAAAATTACAATGTAAAATAGGTTTAAATACTAGAAAATACTGCAAGCCTAGGGCCAAGCCCAATACACAAGTCCATAAAATTAAAATAACCTAAATCCAACTAAAATAATTAAAGCTGCTAAAATAATTAAAATGGACTGGGATGTCCTCATCAATTCTCCCGGGGTGGGAGAGAAAACTCGACCCTGTCGAGTGGCTATATCACCATAGACATCCGTCAATCTCCCAACCATAGGTTGAGTGGCTGGGCAAGCTTTTTCCGGCGTCTGTAGAAATGCGTCAGTGGCGGTCTGAATCTGGTGTCCTCACCAACTCCCCTCGGGTGGACGGGAGTCGATCTGGGCCAATGAAGATCCTGCTGACTCCGATAAAACTCTAACAAATCTGGGTCCAATTGCTGTAGTGTCTCCCTGGAGATACATGCACACTCACAATCTGGTCGACCAACCAAACGAACAGGAAGTGCTGAACCTCTCCATCATTAGTGAACATAGTTTCTTAATCTAAAATAGCATCAATTTTTTCTTTGTGTGCTGTTATTGTGATAATTTTAGCCTTAAACCTCACTTGATCAAAATCATTAATCGAATTGACACCAGTGACTGAATTGACTTCTATTGTTCCCCACTTAAATTGATTGGAGAATTTGACTAGTGTTGACCCTTGCTTTGCCATTTTACATGTAATAGCAGTATTAGCTTGTTTTGGATTTAATTAACCCCAATATTTAAAATTAAATTTTTAAAAAAAAATGGTACAAGTTATTTTCCATTGTTTGCACATATTGTTCACCGATCTCATCCTAGCACGTCATTTAGCTGGTATTACATTGCATGTAATTGCATAGTGGTCGTCTTGTCATCTCTATTTCCAATACATTGACCATGGATCCATCCCAATTTGATGCACTCACTAGACAATTAGCGCAACTTGCTACTAGCCTATCGACTGTCCAATCAGATATAACTGCTACTCGTGAGGAGAGAAAGAACCTAGCTACTAAGTTGAGCAATTTTAAGCGAACCCCTCGTTTAACTGACACTAATTCTGAAGCGTCTCATAATAGACAATATCATTGTCGACAAAGTGATCAAAAATATTTTCGACGCGATCGTAGGAATAGGGATCAGATTCGTAAGCGAGAACGAGATAATTTTGAAATTCTTACTCAATGGAATGCCCTTAAACAAGGAAATCAATTAGTGACTAAGTATATCGCGCAATTTAAGGAATTTCGAACCAAATGTCATTTAATTAAGGATGAAAGCATGACTTTGAGTAAGTTTAGCCAAGGTCTGAAAGATGATCTTAAGCGCGAGCTTTTCCTTCGAGGTGTCACTACTTTTGATCACGCTTACTCTTTAGTTCGAGATTATGAGTTGATTATTAGTACTCCTTATGAAAAGCGTGGTCATCGTCGTTCACCCATCTCATTAGCGTCGTCTCATCATAAGTTTATCATAAAACCTTCTCCGTCTAATGTTCCTCCTATTTGGAAAAATAATTGTAAAGGTCGTGATAGTCCAAGATCTTCTTTTTCGTGTAGAAAGCATAATGGCAATCATCTTTCGGTTTCATTGACTCCACTTCCTCCTGTTAAGTCC